TCAAAGATGCTGTCACGTTCAAAAACTAGCTAGCTCGATCGCGAGTGAGGTTGCCCCCGTGCTCGAACCCAGTATAATAAGGGGATCGGTCTATTCGTGACCAAAGAGAATGATGAAGCTACAATAGGATGAATACACTTGGGGTAAAAAAGCGAGGATACCAGTACAAGAATAGTGTCAGGGCTTGGGGTAACACTGCTTGCTGTCATAGAGTGTGGCTAGTGAACTGTTTGTGCTGTCTACTAGCTTTGTGTGGTCTCGTCGGGTCAAATCAAAAACCTTTGACTACAGTACGGAGGTATACGTACTACTTATGAATTGACGGACCGAATGAAGATGGCATCAACAAAATAATTATGACTTCTCCTGGACCAGGAAATGTGCCATTGATTTGAAGAAGGATGCGATCTGTTGCATACAATTATGTACTTAGCACTGTCCACCAGGTTATACCAAGAGTGGGGTTATGTACTCTTGGTTATACTGATTCGAAGTTTTTTTATAACACTAATAAAGTACTCGTAATCGTTCATGTATAAGTTTTTTAATGAAAAACGTAAAAAAATTACGTTTTTCATAGGTGCCAACACATTTAATGTGTTGGCACCTATGAAATCAGGGGATGGCCCACGCCTGGTAAAAAAAAAAACAATGAGGAGCTACGGTTATACTGATCGGTACGCGGTGAAAGTTGGTTTTCAGGTTTCTCCAGAACTTCAGTTACTATGATTATGAACTTGCAATCCTTACACGTTGACAGGTAGGCATATGCGGATAATGCCGGCAGAACAATTGGCAGAATTCGGTACTTTTTCTGGTAAGTTTCATGCATGTTTGGTATGTGGATAAAGAAATGGAGCAGAATTCGAGGAATTGCTTGCCAGAAGGTTTGTATGGTTCTGCCAATTTCACTGCTTTTCAAGCAAGAATCTGCCACTTTTTCGAGCATTATCCGCCAATGCCTATTGACAGGTGAAAAAAGTAAAAGTAAAAGTAAAAGTAAATTATCGTGTCCGTTCCCGAAGGGAACGCACGACGGCCGCTAACACCCGATAAACCCTAGCCGTGAAAGGTGAAAAGTGCCGGTAAATTATTCACGGTGGATGTGATTATTGTGCTATACATGTAGTGTGCTCAGCTAGGTGGGACAGGAAGATGCACTCATACGGATTACTACGGACTAACACTGACTGACCTGACCGTAATGACTGAACTGACTGAACTGACACAGCAAGCCAGGTACATCAGCAAGCCAAACTCTCATACAGACTGAAACACAGAAACGACGTACCAGTGCATTAGCAAGGTGCTTTGATGCAGACGTGAACTGACACGGCAATCACTGTGCATCACCAGGGTTCGAGGAACAGCCCGTAGCATGGATTCTTGCCCAGACGCTCGTTACGTGCCATCTTCATCAGCGTCGTCATGGGAGCGTTGCCCACGACCAGCAATGGTGTGCTCCTGCTACACTTGCCATGCATCAGCTTCCAGTGGAGAAACCCCGGAGCAGGGGTCAGACTTGCACCCGCCTTGTGCAGCAGAAACCCAAGCATGGCGTCCTCGACGTTACCGGGAAGCGCAGAAGATGCCTGAGTCAGCGCCTGACGCACAGCATGGATGGCAATGTCCCGCGACACGATGTAAGAGAAACCGGATGCAAACGGAGGGTACGTCTTGTCTTTGATCACGGCCATGTGATTGTCGTTGATGCAGTTTTTGCTTCGACTGTACAATGCACAGCGGACTACATCACGGTTCTGCTCCGGATGAGGGCTGCCTGTGTACAGCCCTTTTCTGGGCTGCTGCATCAGCCATACTAGCAAGTTCTCAAACACTACGTACGCATCATCATCCACTAGCATTAGATAGTCGGATGTGGGTTGCTGGAGTTGATACCAATGCAGTGCGCATAACGTCTTTGACGTCATTGTGTCATAGCCGTCCATGATGGGAGCCACAAATACATCCTTCTTGCTCTCCACCTCCGCTCGAAGCCTGGTCATGATGTCTGCACTCTCAGATTGTCCAGTGTAAAATTGGCACAGTGTCCGAACGTTCTTCAGTACATCCATGTGCTCATCCGCTTTGGGTCCGTCGGGAACGAAATGTCTGCTTCGGCAGCGATTGAACCATAGCTTGCGTGTCAGCTCTCGCCTCTCGAAGTATGTAGGACCCGTCTTGACCAAGATCGTCACGGACATGAGACTTTCATTCGAGCGGCGGGGTGCTGGAATGGCGTGTTGGTTCGGCTGACCAGTGGCGCATCTAGCCGGCCTCAGCCCGCCCTCAGTGTTGAGGTCCTGGAAGTCTGGCCGAAGCTTGACGGCCCTGTATAAGCCATCCACTTGCCATTCGTATGCCCGTAGATTCTGTCCATCGAGGGACCGTTCCACTGCGTACCACAGGATGAGAGCTACCGTCAATATCTGAGTCACGCACAGGATTCGCAGCAGCAGCGGGCGAGGACGCGAGTGAACAACTCTTGACTCATTCGCTTTCCAGAACATACTAGTAGCAGTGACCATCGCATCAGATTCGTTTTCCCCAGACAAGAGCAGGACTACAAGTAGAGTGGGAGTTTGGACAAACTATTACAGTCCATTCATCGGGAACAGTCCCGCTGACTTTTGAAAGTCCAATTTTGATGAACCCAAGTAGCCGTTTTTGAAGTCGGTTTGGAATTTTGGTGCTCTGATCCATCCTTGGTCAGATCGAGCTGTGCTGCTGACATGAACCATTACTGTTCCTTTCCGGTAGATGGCTCGGCCCAGAGTCTCTTCGGCCCTACCTTGACGCTTTGGCAGCCCAAATAAGGAGCCCTGACCGCATCAAGCAGGTAAATTTTGATCGTATCCGGGGACATTGCATTCTGGATATGGAACCGGGAACAGCGTGTCGTCACGAAGACAGCTCAGGGGGACACATATGGAGGAAACAGAGTATATAGGTGTGCCGCAAGGCTCTGTCCTTGGGCTCTCTTTGTTCAATTTATCGGTTCGTAATCTTCCCTCGGCAACGAAGCACTGCAAGGCACGGCAATATGCAGATGATGTTTCCCTCTACTGCTCTACAAAGCTGGCAAGGACCTAAACCAACCCACACTCGATCTCGTGATTGTTCGTGATTCCTGGCTGCACGAGGTCTCTGCCTCAATCCTGACAAGACTCAGTTCATAATCTTCAAGTCGAAGTTCACACCTTTGACCCCTGACGTCAGACTTCAACTGAACAACACCTCATGGGGCTGTTAAGTGTGACGTCACGGCCCCTTCGATCCGCATAGCAACGGAGAGCACTGGGGACAAACAAAAGTCGCGTCCTCTGGATGGAACCAGTTGTCAAAGGCAACAGCATCTAAATGACTGGAGAGAGAGCAGTTTTTCTTTGCTTTTTCTTCAAGCGACTGTTGTCGCACTTTACTCCTTGTTCTTTCCTCTACACATCTCCTGTAGTCGTCGAGGGCCTTCATAATGGCTGTGAAATTGGCTGCCCACTGTAAAACTCCGTGTTTGAGAGTGCTTTGAAGATTCTTCGCGTCCTGATGGATCAAAGTACGAGCGCTCCCTGTGGATTCGATTATATGTAGGTGAGTTGTTCAAGAAATCAGTGTCTTCTTCCTGTCTCTGCCTTCACGCTGGCACAATAATATCAGCCTCTATATCCATGACAGCTCGCACCTCCCGTAAGCTGCATGACTTAGATTTATCACTCCCTTAGTATTGACTCACATAGATTTTTGCCATACCTAAGCAGTCAAATATTCCTGCATATTTCACTCCTTAGGGCTATATTGACTGCTTAGGGGTTGCGCAGTTGAACGGTGCCTAGTGCAGCATTGTCACTGCATGAGTAGGTGGTGGTGCAACGGTTGTGCAATCATAAAACGGGATTCATGAGGTTATCGTTCTGGAATTTGAAATATGGACTGTTTGTCGTGATAAATCTAATATTGACTTCGTACTTGGTCAGTATAGGAAATAAAAACCTCTTAAAAGACCTCGGCTTCGCCTCGGTCTTTTACTCGGCTTTTATTTCCTATATTGACCTCGTACTCAGTCAATATTAGATACATATTCTCGCCCTCTCTGGTGATTGAAGACCCATGGAAGAAGTTATTATGTTCAGAATGATGTCCTGAGAATATATTAAAATAAAATAATTCTAGGGAATTGTTTCAGGGTATTTTGGAAGGATGGAGAGAGAGAGAGAGAGAGAGAGAGAGAGAGAGAGAGCACTGAAGTGTTTGTCTCACTGTAATTACTCCAGATTATTGAATGGTGTATGATCTACTCGATATTTTCCACAATGGTTTTTCCTGATTTGCGGGATCTCTTCTTTTGCTGTTTGCGTGTTTACAGGAAGTGACTGTCTGGTGTATCTGCACCAGATCCTGGGGACATGAAGTCAGATGCAGAGGCAGGGTCGTCCAGTGATGCAACACTGCCGTTCTATGTGCAACGTCACAGCTAATTCCCCCGGCGAAAACACAAAAAGACAAACACGTCAAGAGACTACAGTATTGACCGTTCTGGTAATGAATCGTGACTGCTCGGACAGTCGATAATCGAAACACAGAGCACCAGCATGATGTTTTCCTATTGGGAACCACACACCAGCTCAATTCTCAAGCCCAAAAATTGACGAATACAAAAACACAGAGCGACGCAACAAGAGATCATCCGGCAACCAAACCAACCTGGGTCTAATGCACTGGATAGTCCTGAAATACGCAGGCCACACAAAGAAGTGCAAGCACATACTGTTACAAGGTACACGCATTGCAGAACAAAGTGTAACCAAAGATACACGGGGTTATAGCTGCACACTCGTGCATGTGCTCGCTCAGCCCAAGAACACGCATGATTATTATTATATGCATTTCCGCGGCAATGTCAGCCGCACAATGGCAACCCACATATTCGCATATGCCGGAAATAGAATGCTCTGCCAAAAACATAAATCAAATGACATCATATATATCCGTTCTGTGTAATCCAGTCAAGAGGAACATACGACGGCATAGAGTCCTCTCCACCCTGCACGGTCCCTTGCCAGGATCCGTAGGCGCTGCAAGTCACCAAGCGACACAAGCCTTCCATTATCCGTTCCTGCCAGGTCTCCCGACAGCTTCGTGACAATTGTGACACGTGGGCGTCCTCGCCAGGTCTTCTCATCGTGCGTGAAATACGCCGCCATTGCCAATGATGCTGGGGTGTCCTCTGGCAAGCGGAGAATGTGACCAAAGAGTTGCCACCGCAGACGCTTGAGAATGTTGATGATTGGCTCAGCTTTGCACCTGGCGTACAAAGAGACATTCGTCATCTTCTGAGGCCAACTAATGCCAAGGAGTGATCGCAGTTGCTGACGGTGGAAGGAATCGAGACTCTGCTCCAAAGCCACCGTCAAGCCCCATGTTCCGCCGTTGTAAGTCAGTACTGGTATGACAAACGCCTGATAGAGCCTCAGGCGCAGCTTCTCACTAATAAGCTCTCGTCGACACCACACAACAAAGAGTGACCTGAAAGCTGCTGTTGCGAGCTGCTTCCTTCTGATCACGTCTTGTTCATCACCCAGAAGTGACCCAAGCTTACGTGTCTTTCTCCAGACTTCCGCTAGACGATCCCCTTCTCTGCGTAGTGTTGTTTGCTCAGTTTTCTCTTCGTTCACTTTGAGATGCCATTCTCTGAGGACCTCAGTTATGCTCGGGCTGATACTGTCCAACCATGTCCGTGAGCTGCTCAGAAAATCCGTATCATCTGCATAGATAACTTCCCCAGGCAAGAGATCATCAGCCGGCGGCCTGGGAGGTAACGTGGCCCTGAGATCACGTAGCGCTGATTCCAAGTAAATGACAAAAAGAACTGGAGATAGGCAGTCGCCCTGTGGGGTGCCGATCATGGTCTCAAACTCCGATGACTGCTGCTTACACGCGAGCACAGATAGGCTTGTATTGGAAAGAAGCACTCGGATCAGTCGGACTTCATCCTCCTTCACGATGCCATGGACCACCGTGAGCAGCTTCTCTCTCGATATTGTGTCGAATGCCTTGCTCATATCTATTCCGTGTATCTCTATGGTGGCATGGTACTTCTGGGTGATAGCGGCTAGCCAGCGATGCGTCCAGACTGCATCAGCCGTGGATCTGCCAGGACGGAAGCCACTATGGGATGCACTCAGATAGCTGTCCACTGCTGGCTGGATGCGTCGCAGTGTAAGGAGAGAAAGGGCCTTTCTGGTTGAATTCAGCAGCACAATAGACCTAAGATTTCCGGGAGGTCCCTTCTTTTTGTTAGGCTTCGGCAGGGGTATTAACGTGCCTTGTCCGAGTTCAATTGGATGATGCGTCTCAAACATGCAATTCAGGCATTGAGCCAGGGCTTGGGCCAGCGTCTCACCTCCGTACTTCAAACATTCTGCATTAACCCCATCGGGTCCACAGGCTCTGTTGTTGTTGTTGAGTTTCTTGATGCATGAATACATTTCATGAGCTGTAATCGGGTTTTGAAGAGGTCGGGGATCTCCGTGAAACGGGAGGACCGGTGAAGCATCAGGCCGGTTAAACTGTGTATTGAAGTGGGATCTGATGATGTCAAGGGACTCAGTAGTGTTACCTACAAGTCTACCTTTGTCATCCTCCACCACCAGCTGTTGGGCACGTTTCCTCGCCATTAGAGCAACTGCCTTGAACATCTTTGCTCCGTCCTTCAGTTTCTCAACTTCCTTAGCCATTGCGTCCAGTCTCCTTTCCGCGTCCCTCTTGCATCTCTGTCTAATTTCATGTTGAACCCCGTTGCGATCTTGCTTAAGCCTTGACCTTATATCTCCATCCGGGGTGTTGATCCAGCTCAACCTGAGTTCCTTCTGATATTTTGACAGCTTCACAATTTCGGGATCATTCGATTGTTTTCTTGTCTTGGTTCTCTTTACTTGACCGACAGTGCTGTGTGCAGTTTCTTTAAACAGCTGTCACGATGTCATTGTAGACTTCGTCACATGGTCTGGCACCGTCACAGACTGGAGGTATGATGGAGGACAGCCTCTCTTGGTACCGTTTCTGCATTGCTTTGTCCTCCACGAGTCTACTGACATTCAGCGCCAGTCCTGTGGATGCGGTGCTGTGTCTTGCACTTGACGGCTGACATGCTCCAAGAACACCGTAAATCCTGGCTAGATCCAAATCCGCAACAACAAGCTTGTGGTCGGTGCTGATCTCCATTCCTCCGTAGCTCCGGCAATTTTGCAGCATTCGCTTGTGGGATGAACGGCACACAATGTAATGAATTTGGTTGAATATAGGCACTGTTTTCCCAGACGCCACGTCTCTTCGCCATCCAGTCCACGTGGTTTTGTGCCTAGCAGCATGCTGGAAAGTGGTATTGGCCAGGTACAGGCCATTGCTGTCACAGTAGTCCACAAGTGACTGTCCATTCACATTACGAATTCCTCTGCCATGACTCCCCACAGCAGTCTGAGTCTCGCCAGGTCTTCTGACTCCAGCTTTAGCATTTAAGTCTCCGGCAATGTAGAGCAGCGTGCAGCCTCTGACCTGCTCGTACGCAGTCGACAATGCTGAGTAAAATTTGTCTAGCTCGTCTGCTGACTGTGAGCATTTTGAGCTTGTTGGCGCGTACACGTAAAGTAAAAAGTCGTTGATAACGGCGAAGGAGCAGTTTGCCCTCTCTGGCTTGTTGTCAGCATTCTGACATGAGTGAAGAGTAAGTACCGCAACTCGGTCGGAAATTTGCCAGAAACGGTGAATCTTCGCAGCACAGGATGACGATATCGCGAAACCCAGGCCGTAGTGTCGACATTCCGGCGGAAAACAGATCTGTCGATACCCGCCTCTCTCAATATCTAACCCGGCCACGAGCTTCGTCCCCTGTAAGCAGCAAATGTTGATTTTGTACGACGATAATCCTCTGCTGAGCGCGTCCTGTTTGGACTTCGCCGAAATTCCTCTAACATTCAGGGTGGCAATTCGAAATGGCGTTGAAGAACGCCGCCTATCACTCTTCATTCGCTCTCAATATCTAACCCGGCCACGAGCCTCGTCTCCTGTAAGCAGCACTGAAATGTTGATTTTGTACGACGATAATCCTCTGCTGAGCGCGTCCTGTTTGGACTTCGCCGAAATTCCTCTAACATTCAGGGTGGCGAAATGGCGTTGAAGAACGCCGCTTGTCACTCTACATTCGATGTCTTAGTCTATTTCCGATAAATACATGCCTCTCCGAAGAGAGAGAGAAAGCGTAACCTTCCTCATCCAATCTGCATGATGATCGAAATAATCCGGGGGGGGGGGGGGGGAACACACTAGCACCGAAGTAAGCATCAAGACGTAAATAGTCATCATCACAAGCCCTAAGGCCGTCGGGGCGTCACAGAGCAAGTATGAACAAGCGAGCGCCATAAAAATCGATCGCGTGCAGCAGCGAGCAGGGACTGCACGTCAAGTGCAGTCCATGAAATAATATTATCAAGCCATGACATTCTGGGCCTGCCTCGGCCACGACCTCCAGCAACACAACCCTGAAGAACAGTCAATGACAAACAGCCGGGACGAACAATATGACCAAAAAATTGCAATTTCCTTTTACGAACAGAAACAATAAGTGGGACTTGTTTGTGAATACTATTTATTTCCTCTCTAACAGACACATTCGTCCGTAAATAGTGCAGCTCTGAAAAAGTAAAAAAATCACATTGACATGTACATTGGTGTGCCGAGTAGTATCATCCTTGATTACCCATCCAACCAAGACGTTATCAGGTCCCAGACGCCGAGATCGCACGCGAATGTGAAGTGCATCTAGTCTTGAACCTGTTGCACAAGGCACACACATAATTATGACAAAAATGACATCCACTCCGATTATTTCCAGAGGCCAATCATTACAGAACACAGAAATTAAACCACGGGCTCAACAAAGTACATGTAAACGCAAAGGAAATTAGTTAAAATAATCCATTTTAAAAGTATTTAAACAATCGACGAGGAGACAATAGTCGTAAAATGGCAATAAATAAGATAAATTGTGCACTCATAACAACAGCAAAAATGAAGAAAGTCAACTGAAACCATATTAGCTACATGTATATAAGTGTGTGTTTTAGTTATTACATTTTTATGTGACAGCGTTCCACTGATGACAGTCACAAGAAAACGTTATGGAACTTGACTTTCTTCATTTTTGCTGTTGTTATGAGTGCACAATTTATCTTATTTATTGCCATTTTACATTTTAAAAGTGCTATTTTAATTCCAGCGCTTGACTGCAGTGTGGCGTCGTGGCCCGATACCCGCTGAGCATAGACACAAACTCCATTTGACAGGGGCAAGACATACTATTTCGGAAAAAAGTCATAAAGTACAGCATTCCAATGACATAACGGACACCTCGTGCAAATGCGTGGTCTGTTCATCCGGCCAACTCGGCCACGCATGAGAGTGTGTGCATGTACGCGCGCACGCAAGCGCGCGCGTGCACACACACCATGTATTTGGTGCGAATGGCGTACCTGTTGCGGAGATATGAAGATGGAATCATTATCATAACGTTACATGTACATGTACAGTGTATGTTTGAGTGTAAAGTAAATTTCATTTTATTACACATTTCTTCGACCCGACTTACTCCACATCTTCGCATTTCTCATAATCCATCCACCTACACTCCGTCTCAGGTGAGGAAAAACTCTCCCAGGTACAGGTATACACTAGTCACCACAGCTATGTGATGACATTGGGATGGGTCCCAAGCACGATTGCACTCTCCAGTTACAATATAATTTATTTGTTCAGATTATCTGTGAAGACAAAATGCAATGCATAGCGGCAATCGATGGATGAAGAGAGAGTTTGTAAATACACATAAAGCTCCTGAACAAGTGGAAAGATATTATCTTTCCACTTGTTCAGGAGCTTACCTTTTGGAGTTCACATCGTTTACACGATCTCTTACGCTGTCTTGCACCTTGGCTTTGTTGACCATGGATACGCCATCCCAGAAGACATTCTACAGGAGCTACTCAGAATGCAGAGCGTTTTTCAAGCTCGATCTCGGCGATCTACCTCGTCACGCCAATAAAATCCTCCGTGACACTGGCTACAGTCACAAGAGATGTCTCAGTAAGGTAATGAGCACGACAACACCGTCGAGATCAAGGACAAAGAGAAAACAAAACACTCACTGAAAACAGCAAAGAAGAAACGAAGAAATGTACACGATTCCAATATGTTGCCACTGACAACTGGTTCGGTGGAGACGACGCTACTGTTGTTTGTCCCCAGTGGGACCGTTGCTATGCGTATCGAAGGAACTGTGACGTCATCACCTAACAGCCCCATTGCCCCTTTGCCTGAAGTTTTTTTAATTATTTTTTAATTTATTTAAAACTCGGGTATTGAGCCAATAATAAAAGTAGAAAGGAAAAGGACATATGGAAACGAGTAAAAGAGTAACTCTCCACCACTGTAACTAGATACTATAGTTTTGTCAGTTTCGGGCCCAGTTGTTGCACTTTCTGACTGTATATAGTATCTAGTTTCAGTGGTGGAGAGTTACTCCTAACTCGTTTCCATATGTCCTTTTCCTTTCTACTTTAATTTATTTTTTATTGGGAACACAGCTACCCTACAAAGCTAAGAAACATGTGGAGACAAACACAAAAGAAGACACAGGGGATGTAGGGACGACGTGCCGATGTACAGGGAGCAGCTCGACCGACCAGGGGTCTCGGCGTTAGCGTTGCAACCTGGCATCGAAAAAGGGGGGGGGGATTGCATGGTCAAGGAGCAAAAATAACAATTTGGTGCGAGAAAGGGGCCGGCGCTAGTATTGCACAATAAATAATAATAATTTTATAATAGCAATAAAGAGAACAAATTCTGCAGTCATCGCCACACTACAACGAAGTCATGAAAGTTTACCAGAATTAATTTTCTTGTCACATTCATCAGTGGAAAGTCGTGACTGAAGAGTAACCATGCTGAACAATGATTAAATATACATTCAATGATGTGTTACGAGAACAAAATACAGTGCCAAAATAGAATGAGGGAAGGTGAGACAATAGAAGTGAAGTGAGAGCTACATGTAAGTGCAACGGTGGGTGAAAAACTAATAATTATAACGCTAAAACTGTGTAGTGAGACAAACAATCCTGCTGATCTTTGTAAGCAGAAGAAACATGTAGTTGCGTTAAAATTGTGTTCGTAGGTGCACAGCATGATTGTTTGTCTCACTACACAGTTTTAGCGTTATAATTATTAGTTTTTCACCCACCGTTGCACTTAGCTCTCACTTCACTTCTATTGTCTCACCTTCCCTCATTCTATTTTGGCACTGTATTTTGTTCTCGTAACACATCATTGAATATTATTTAATCATTGTTCAGCATGGTTACTCTTCAGTCACGACTTTCCACTGATGAATGTGACAAGAAAATTAATTCTGGTAAACTTTCATGACTTCGTTGTAGTGTGGCGATGACTGCAGAATTTGTTCTCTTTATTGCTATTATAAAATTGTTGTCTCCACGTCGATTATTTGCAAATAATAATAATAATAATAATTTTAGAATTGCGATCAACAGAACGAGCTGAACCGATATTTCACAAAAGGCTTTTATTGTATTCAAAAAACGAGTGGATACGAAGGCAGTGAAGAAAATGGAAGACCATGTTCTTCACTGCCTTCGTATCCACTCGTTTCTTGAATACAATAAAA